AACCTATGTGACTGTTCTTATGATGTTGATTTTTAAATAATGATGATGTTTTTAATCTACTGTGATGATGTTTGTATGCCGTAAAATTGTATGATTGTAAAATGTCAATGCAAATCAGACGTGCCCGAAGCACTTCGACACGTCTGCAATGTTTATATTTAATACAAATTTGATTTAATATTAAAATAATTCAAACAAGGGCAAAATGATACAATAACAATAATGAAACAGTAGTATACATAAATTGAGATGAAATGAGGGGTATGCTGTAAATTTCTTTGTCTAGCATTGTGGTTGTGTACAAGTGAATTCATATTTATGAAATTATCAAATATATTGGGGAGATTGTTGGAAAGGAAACTGAAAGTGAAAAGGCTAATTTGTAGTTTATTGATATCATGGATATTTAGTAGTTTTAATTTTTTCAAAAGAGGAGCTGCGTGTGAGCGAAATTCAGATCCAGTTACTATTCTTGTGAATTTCTTTTGTAGAGTAATTAGGGGATGAAGAGTTCAACGGCAGGCGTATCCCCAAACAATGTTACAATAGGTCAAGTAAGGGTATATCATGCTAATGTAAATTGTTGTGAGGGTCTTTTGGGGTTTATTGTATTTGATTTTTGCAATGAGTCCTATTGTTTTGGCAACCTTTTTACTTATAGCAGTGACTTGGTCTTTCCATATTAATTTGTCATCTATTACGACTCCCAAAATTTTTGTCCTAATTTGCATCAATGTGAAAATTCTGTAACTCCTTATTGTTAAATGATGGGACTTTTATACCTTGTGACATGTGTAAGTTAATTAAAGGTTAACACCACTATGCATATATTATGTTAATGTTGATGTCATTTGCATAATTAATGTGTTGAAAGGAAGTATGACAAAGTAAAGGAAATTTAAAAGGAAAAATATTGTCATTTGAATTAAGAAAATCATAAATTAAACTAGATTATGCTATTTACGACCTTATTTTCATAGACAATGAGACAAAAAAAAATATTTACAAAACACAGATATGTCATGGAGGTGTGAGATCTCCGAATTCTTGCTGGTTGCTTACTCCACATTTCCCAGCTCACCTGCTCAATGACTAGGCAGTACACACGAGCATCGTACTAGGTGCTACAACGCACGTGAAACGCACCCGATTTCTACAGTTTATAAAGACAACTTGACGGACAAATGCCAACCTGTCTCCAAGAGCAAGAAGGCACAGAATAAGGCATCTGTACCTACAACCATACAAGACCCAAAGAAACGGGCCGCGGAAGACGACAGGGCGACTGGTGAGAAAGATGACAGGAGGAGGGAAAAAGAATCAGATTGATCATCGCACCTGCACTTATAACGGGCGAGTGATTAAGAAAACCTTACGCAGCACGTGTAGGTACGGCCTGCTCGCGGCAACATGGCAATCGTACAGAGATCGTAAGTTGTAAGCACGTACAAGGCACTTACCACTTGCGCAAATTTCAGAAAAACGTAGCAGAAGTGGCCTCCCCCCCCCCCCGAAAAAAAAAACGTATGGACAAAAAGCACGTGCGGCGGGTTGTGACCTAGGCTTATCACTGCTTTCAGTAGACCCAATATAGGGAAGTGTAGAATACAGAGGAATGAATGGCAGGAAATATCATTTAAACGAAAACATCCTGCAATTGCTTGTAAGAGTTACCTTTCTAGTTTCCTTTTTATTTCAGGTTCAGATTTTTTACTATTGGTACCATCACATGCTAATTATCATTTAAACATTGTTGACTTACAGTGGACATTGCTGGAGCCCAGCCTCCATGGCCCTCTTGCATTGTCCGGACCCATGCAGCATTACCGTCTATCTTCACTAGGTCTCCCACACTCAGTCTGTTCCCGCCCTCTCCGGGAGCGGACACCTTTGTCAGACTGGCCGGGTTGAAGCGCCACATCCTGCCGCCCACGTCCACATTCACGTCTCGGTCAGGAAACACGTGCGCGACCCGTCCTACCTTCCCGAGACTCTGTAACATATAAACACGGTGGTCAAATTTAGGCCCAAATGTCCCATGGCCCAACCTTTTTTTAACCAAATCGTGCTAGATCTGAAGTAAATCGAACCGAACAGTCGTTCGACTTTGGCTAAACCGCTTTAAACTCTCTTAAGCCGTTTTACATTTGTTTCCCTCACAAATGAAATAGCAATTTTACAAATATAAACCGATTTATGGGCAGTACAGTTATACCGTCATTTTGTAGTGGATATGTAGAATGTAACAAAGCTACTGCCGTCATGTGGGTGACCTTGAATATCTTAATTTTTGTTTACGCGGATGTAAATTACCAAGTACCCCTGCCCATGCAGTAGGCCATGCAGGCAAACATGGTATTTTAATAGCAACAAAAGCAAGTAAGTTATCCGAAAATCGATTTAAAATTGAAGATAATAAGACCTCGGTCTGTATCGGACTTTTTTTCATAGATAGTAGCACTCTCGAATTAGGAGTGTTAGAATTTGAAAATGTGCATTTTTTTGCGTTTTTCGACCTTCGAATTCTAAAACATGTGGACAAGAAAGTCTCTAAAATCTGTTTATTACTTTTTTTAAAGATTTACCGTTGAGACTGACTCCACCCTCGAAAATTTCTATATATCAACCCATCTTTAACCAAACGTCCCAACCTAATTTCTTTAAACATAGTAACCCTTCTGTCACCACACGTTCCACCATTCCAAGTTTTTTTATAACATAGCAACCCTTCTGTCATCACACGTCCCACCTTCCCAAGATTTTTTATAACATAGAAACCCTTCTGCCATTACACGACCCACCTTCCAAAGTATTTTTATAACACAACAACCCTTCTGTCATCACACGTCCCGCCATCCCTATATTTTGTGACATAGAAATCTTTCTCTCGCCACAAGTTAACCTTCCTTACACATAGCAAAGCTTCTGTTACCAGACACCCTAGGTCTTCAGCAATGTTTCTGTTCTGTCAATACATATTTTAGTCGTCTTAAGGCTCTTTTTGCATCACAAGTCGGACACTTTACGTTCACGTTTAATTTTCCTATAACTTTGCAAGGCTTAAGTTCCGATCACATACACTGAACTTCCGTGTACTTATAATGTCCTTTTCAGTGACGATATTGTTGTATGCTTAAAGAAGAAAAAAAAAGTATTATGTATATCAATATAGTGGTGCTAACTCCTAGCAGGTACACTGTTAGAGGTATGTGAGTAATAAAACATTGCAATAAACAAAACGTCATATCTCCGCACTTCAGGTAGTTTTATCAAAATTGCGCGATTCTGACAAAGAAAACTGCGGAAAAGTCGAAATGGAAATGTATGTCCACTAACCGTCACCATGTCGTCGGTCCAGCCGCCATGTCCGACCTGCTGCCGCTGAACCTTCCCGTGATCCTCGCTGACCTGGACCCAGTCTCCTGTACGGAGGGCGGAGCTGTCATCCCCGCCTACTTTGGTCAGGGCGTCAGGGTTCAGACAGAATCTGAGAAACAAAAATTACATTTTTTGTTTATGTGTCAATGGTTCAATATTAACAGAGTGGGTTTTCATGCAACTATATGATATATGTTAAGCTGGTTGTTTAGAAAAACTGTGGTGAATACAAGTGAAAGGGCACAGACAAAGTGACCTAGATAAACTACATGTGATCCAAAATCGTGCAGCTCGTTTAGCCACAAACGCCACTTTTGACCGCAGACTTAATGACCTTCACTTACAGTTAAACTGGCAAACAGTCAACCAGAGACTTTTCACCAGTACTCTTTTTGCATTCCACAAAATTGTAACTAAAGAGCAACCTCAATGTATCTTGAAAAACTTGCAGAAAATAGAAGCTACACATAGACACCGTACAAGACTTGCACAAAGAGGGGCGTTTACCCTAGACAAACCCAAAAATAAAGCTAAAACCAGAACATTTGTATATAGAAGCATAAAAACATGCAACAAACTACCATCCGATATAACATCTGGAAGCGAACGCACATTTAAAGACAATATCAAAGTATGGAGTAACAAGTACAACCACATGCGTCTCGACACATGGTGGCAGTACATGGTGTAAATAGGGACCTCTGACCTCTTCACTGTATTTTAAGTATGTAATTTAAGCTAGCCTTAATTGTTGTACATATAATTAAATATATGTAAATATAAATAAATATCATCTATGTTACATTTGATTTGATTTCTGTATATGACCAGTACTACTTAATTTCCTGTATTTATTATATATTATGTTAAGTTATCATTTATGTTATATCTGATACCTTTTGATTTGTTTTGATTTTGTATTTTGTCGGTGTCTTATAAGCCCATATGGGCTGGGCGGCATATTGATCGCAATGGCACGATAATAAACAGTCATTCATTCATTCATTCATTCATTCATATAAGCAAGTTAGTAGGCCTACGAGTAGATTATGTTAAGATTGCTATTGCTATACTGTTATTTAAGCTGATGTTGTTGTACATACATGTTGTAATTGTAGCTATTAAGTTAACTTTGTAATTGATTACATTTTATGTTCTAAATGTAATGTTACAGGACTCCAGGAAGACTAGTAAACAAACATTGTATTACTAATGGAGATTCCTAATAAACATAAACATAAAAATAAACTGCGAAGTCAAGTTTGGCTTAACGTATTATACCGCTAGAGGTCCACTTTGATCCCCATGTGCGACAGGCTGCGGGGAAAACTGCCGTGATCAATAATTATCCTCTCTTTAACATTTGTAAACATTCGTGTAGTTCCAGAACAAGCTGCTAGGTGGCTCATTTGTGACTTTTTCCAGAGCTCAAGAGCTCCAAAATTCATGACCCTAGCATGTCCATATGGCGAGATGTCAAAACCAAACTACGTCGATGAAGGTTAGACATCCAGGTAATACGATATGCCAAAAAACAGTTACTCAAGCAACTGGATATGATTTTGAAAACGTCAGACGTTTCAGCTTGTATCCACTAGCTTTCGTCAGTGACTGAGAGACCAGAGGGGAAAGCAGGTTATATACACAACCTGTTGATTGATATGCAAATAAAGTGAAGACAAATTTTTTTGGAAGTCGAAAAAGGAACAAAAGTCAGACAAGTCAAGACAAGATGATGCAAATCAAGTTCACACAGGAGCCAAGCCATGACAACATGCTCCCTTTCCTAGACACCAAAACTATCGTAGAGGAAGATGGTAACCTTCGTTTCGAAGTGTACAGGAAACCAACCCACACTGTTCAGTACCTGGCTTTTGATTCCCACCACCCTTTGGAACACAAACTAGCAGTGATCAAAACTCTCTTCCATCGTGCAGACAACATTGTCACTTCAGACCAAGCCAAAACGGACGAACAAAGACACCTCCGAGGTGCACTGGCTAAATTTGGCTACCAAAACTGGACTTTCAACAAAGCGCTCAAACCTTCAGATCAGTCTAAGAAAACCCAGAAGTGCAAACCATTGACCAACAAAAACAAGGCCAACATCACTATTCCGTATGTCCAAGGAGTATCTGAGAAACTCCGACGGATCTTCCAAAACTTCAACATAGCCACTAACTTCAAACCTCACTCAACCCTCAGACAAAGACTGGTACACCCTAAGGACCGACCTCACAAGGGTACCAAGGCGAATTTTATTTACAGACTCAAATGTGAGGAGCCCAATTGTAACAACACCTACATCGGGGAGACAAGTCGACCGCTTAAAGTAAGGTACAAAGAACATTGCCGACCTAGTGCCAACGGCTACTCCTCAGCTATTTTCCACCACCTACAACACAACCAGGGTCACTCTTTCAAACTCGAGTCCACGGATGTCTTAGACCGCGAAACACGCTGGTGGGAACGGGGTGTTAAAGAGGCCATATATGAAAGAATGTACAACCCCACCCTCAACAGAGAAGGGGGCTACGGGTCGATCTTTCCGGCACTTGGGATTTGGCACTCCCAGCCCCGAGGACAGACAACACTTAAGCTCCTGTCCTGTATAACAGGAGCTTTCAGACTAATTTGCATCATCTTGTCTTGACTTGCCTGACTTTTGTTCCTTTTTCGACTTCCAAAAAAAAATTTGTCTTCACTTTATTTGCATATCAATCAACAGGTTGTGTATATAAACCTGCTTTCCCCTCTGGTCTCTCAGTCACTGACGAAAGCTAGTGGATACAAGCTGAAACGTCTGACGTTTTCAAAATCATATCCAGTTGCTTGAGTAACTGTTTTTTGGCATGTCAAAACCAAACGTTACGCTGCGGTACGAAGAGAAGCCACTATGGGGCCCAAAATCCTATCATTTCCAGTTCTTGTCACACCCTACCAGCGCACTAAGTATGAAACTAATCCAGTCAGCCGTTCTTGACTAATCTTGTTGAACACAGATTGACATACAGAATAACATACAGACAAATGCAACTAAAAAGATACCCTCCGTGACATGCCATGGAGGTAATAAAGCAAAACTAGACACATATAGCTAAAAGTGTTTTGTTTCTGCTATGTAGTTTTGTGCATCATTTAAAGTTAATGCCATAGGAACAGGGAAAGTTGTTTAGCATTATTAGACAGATTATTGAATTTACTAAGTGTCAAAGAATGCTACAGAGCTTGCCGAAAATGACTGAGCGCAAACCGTAGGCACAAAATAGGCATGAAGTAAGACCTACGGGTATTTGTAATATATTGTCGCCACATGACAGCAAGTCATCGATTGACAAAGGGACTTTGGGTATTGGTCCATCAATGATTGACTGCAAATATGAAGTATTATCATATAGCCAGCATCGAGCAATCAGAAGGCTTGATTTCCCATTGGTTATCTGGCAATAACCGAAAAAGTGGTCGGTTATTTTTGGACCGTACCATTATACCGGGGACAGGGCACTAACAAAAGTGCGAAGACTTGTAGTATTTATCTATTTAAAACGTAGTGTAGTTTATTTTGAATAATTTATTTGAAGAATACAACAAAATTTTATAAAGGAAAGACTAAATATAATTTTGACAGCCCCAATCGAAGTGGTCACTTGGTCACCGCAGATAATTGCCAAGATAATCTGTTTTTCTGTCCACAATCTTCTTTCACGTAATATGGAAAGTAGAGTTAACCCTTAATTAAAGCACCACAGGAGCTACCTGTTTCCGCTAGGATACCGAACGACGATGTCACCATCTCGGTCAATGCCTTCAACAGTTCCTTCTGTCGTTATGCACTATGGAAAAACAACACGATTTATTGATTAGCAGTCAGTGTCATATTTGCAAAAATATGAATGCATGAAGTTTTGTGTTATATAAATAACATGCCGAAAATCCAAGTATATATAAATATATAATGTACCCCTGAATTGTGTATTTGAATTCTACAATTGGTTTAAAAAAGCCAAGTAAACAGAAACACTCAATATACAAATATGTACAAACATCATTCAAGCCACAACAGAAAATAGCAGACATGCATGGGTTTTCAATATGAACCATTATCACTGACATTGTAAAGTCTTGCATATATACATATGACTTATGATTTCATTTACAGGTTGAATAAAATATTTCTAGAAAATTGTTAACTTTCATCCTTTCATTCTAAACCGTTTAATTTATTCATAGTGCTAGGTCAAACATATTGTTACTGTAAATGAATTTTTTGGAGGAATCTTTCACTTTGTGATACAAGCACCAAACTTGGTACAAATACTCATAAGACATTACTCTTTCGAAAAAGTACGCGGGCCACTTGATTTTATTTTTGGAGCCCCCTAGCGGTCCTTTTTGGTACTGCAGCTTTGTACTGTTCTAAACATGGTACAGTCATGATTTTTATTTGGTAGAAAGCTGTTAAAGTTAGGAAGAAGTGACGTAAATTTGGTGTCTCTAGCTGCTTGCGTAGGAACTGTATGGGCGTTTTTGCCGGTGCAAAAATTTGCTCCAAGGGCGCTTTTTGGTACTGCAGCCGACCTTCCGAAGCAAAAAAAAAGCGCCCTTGAAGCAAATTGTGCACCGGCAAAAAACGCCCCTACAGCCCCAACGCAAGCAGCTAGAGACCCCAAATTTACGTCACTTCTTTTTTACTTTTACAGCTTTTTTACCACATAAACTTCATGACTTTAGCATGTTTAAAACAGGAGATACAAAGCCCGGAAGATTAGCTGCAGTACCAAAAAGCGCCGCTAGGAGGCACCAAAAGTCAAATCAAGTGGACCGTGTACTTTTTCAAAAGAGTAATGTCTCATGAGTATTGGTACCAAGTTTGGTGCTTGTATCACAGAGTGAACGATTATTTCAGTTATCTGCCCCACTAGTAAAAAAGTGTTTCGAAATATTACTTGACTTAAAATTGATCATGATATGTCACAAATGTTTACCTCTAGCATCGGCTCTGAGAAGCCGCCATGACCTCTCTGAAGCAGCTGTAAGGTCATCCGGTCATGTTCAACTTTGACCTTGTCACCCTTTGAGTAGCGACCAAGACTTAGGTCGACTGTGCAGAAAGTAAAAACAAGACCGGTACGTTTGAATGCAAAGAGCATTTTTTCTTTAACCAAATAATTAAAAAAAACATTTCAGAATGTTATCCTGAGAAATGGCTGTACTTGGTCAGCCGCTTTCTTACTCAAAGGCCAGAGCAAATAAATATTATGGATGACATCTTCCGCAGACTCCAAACCTAATGCGATATAGGGCACATAAAAGCATAAGACAAAACAATGAATAAGATCCTTATGCTGTCTAGTCTCTTCATATTTATCCGCCAAAGTGGTCAAAGGCCAACATGATTTATTTTTAGAAATCAGGCGAAAGTCATTGCGCGCGCTGATGTCATCCATAACAATTACTTGCTGTGGCCTAAATGGTCAAATGGAAAGACAACAAGTAACTACTAGTATACTTTAACTTGATAATGAAAGTAAATCAGCAATGCTGACAACATCACGAATCTACTATTTTACGTGGAACTGACCGGAAAGGTTGTCCGTATAAAACACACTGTGTTAACTAAATTATAAATAGTAATAATACACTTTACACCCCTTTGTGGGTTTTTTAAAATGTAGAAACCTTTACAACTAACCATTGCTAAATGTAGAAATCTTTAAAACTGACCTTTAATAACCTTAAGTCTAATCAATTATGTAAAACAGTTCTCATTTGAAGTTGTTCTGTCTAAATCTTCTGACTACTCTCCGACTAGAACGGGACTCTTGACCTGTCTTAGGGAGTGTCTTTGCTTGTTTTATTTACAATACTTTGTTGTTGACACCAACGACTCTACGACCCTGCGCCCGTGACCATGCATACCCCACTGACGCCATTACGCCAATAAAATGAAATGAACCGAAGGCCATGTTCATTTGATAACACTCTCTGGAAACCCTAAAACCGATGCGATCGAAATTGACTGGAATAACTTTCATTGTTATGAAAAGACTAACAGAGAGTAAGTGACATGATCAACTGATCAAAATCTATACCAAGAATGATCTTATTTGCAGAATTAATGAGGAACATTAATAATTCGTCCGTTCCTAACCTAAGGGGAACTCAAATGCCGAAAGTCAATGTGTAACTGGAAACGGGCACGCTAAAAGAGTGCTGACCCCCAAAGCAAATTGCAGTATTAAAGTGTGTTTATAGCAGACAGCAGTTTCGTTTTAGTCAGCCCGAGGGATCTTTAACTTCGAAGTAGAAAAAGCTTGTCTGTAACTGAAGCAACGAGTACGTCATTCTTAGTAGCCCCATGTCTCATTTTGTGATTATAAGTTGAGAACATGCTACGGTAAAACACTACGTTCAGTGTGTAATTGTCATAAAATTGATTGCGTGTCTACTGTTCCCAGGCACTTCTGTTTAATGTTCCCTAGGGAATGACTGATAAAAAGCAACGGAGGTTCATTAGGTACGCAGTCATGTAAATCTTGCATTAATATACAGACCACAGTGTAATAAAAATGGCAGAAAGATCTGTCTGGAGGGGGAGGGTCAACTCTGCACGGGCATACCGCCCGACATGATGTTGATGAACAAAACAAACAAACATTTTCTTTTATCAGAATGCACATATGTATGTAATTACATGGCAAATTCACTAAACAATTGTGGACAATTGTTAGGATAGAATATTTCTCCTTGACTACGGTGATAAGAATCCAGCCTATTGTAACAACCTGTTTACTATAACAATTTTGTGAAATCCCTTGGGTAATCGCTGTAGACTGGCAGTGTCACTTTGAGTAGGAGTGGCAGTTTATTTTTACAATAAGACTGGACTACGTGTCTAGAGGTCCCCATAAAGAGGCAAAATGGAAAGGGTTTTAACGAAATTCTACAATAATTTGCAATATGAAATTCGTTTTCATATTGCAAAACGACTCATTCTACAACGTCTCTATTGTTAGGTATAAGGAAACATTTAGGTCATGGTACAGTCACAAAATGACACACACAGACAGAAAGTGTTATGTTACTACACATTAAACTTTAACATTAAAGCCGTACCATATGCATTCCTGTGTAAACACGGTATATTTGTCAAATTGAAAATAAATTAATAATCATTGGCAGTCAGGTGAGCTATTGTTTTACCTCTAGTCACGTTCATGGGATTTTTTACATTAGGTAAAATTACGTACATATTACGTACATATTCTCTTAGCTAAAACACAGGTATTATAGACTGGCGCTGTTCAACATTTTACTTCCCCCTTATAAGCTCTGTCACACAAAGCGCTGTACGAAAGTGAAACCAAAAATGCGAGGTTGTGTGCCAGTGTGTTAGTCACGTAAAATATACATGGAATCCACATATCCAGCTTGTTCTACTCTATAAAGCAATACAAAACAGTACAAAGCATTGTTATGGCCATATTGCTCTAATACACAAGTAGGCGCAGGGAAGACGTACCTTGGGCGAGCCGCCCGAGCTCTACGTCCAGAGCGTTCCCCATCTTGGTTAGGTGGTCACGTGACTCTGGATTCTGGGAAGTCCCGGTGTGTGAAACTGGGTTCACAGTTCGGGGTACGAAACCTGCCTGGCAAAATTATTACATCACCTTATCTATCTATGTATGATTTATGAATGACAGATGATTTTATCACATCTTGGAAAGGATTAGAAACACCGGTAACTATCACCTTTTAAAATATGACAACCTAAGGCTAGACTGTAAAGTTTGTTCAAGGTGTTCTCCGTAAACACAGGACCCCTTGCTTGAGGTACCATCCGAAATGGCGTCTCTAAAGTGCATGACTCCATGTAACCTCTCTACCTGTTGACCCTGAGAACACAAAAACATGGTGAAAGATACTATCTATTTAATTATTCATAAGCCACGGAAAGAACAACAGGTGCAACTTGTCATCACTCGAAAGCCACCATATCATCGGTTAAAGTTAAGTCATGACAAGACAATATTCATATTAGCTGAAATAAATATAGAATACAACACGGGTTATTCCGTATCGCCCGAGGTATTGGCCCGACCGCGGGTCGGATCGCCCGACGGCCGCAGCGACCCACGGGAGGGCCGGGACCGAGGGCGATGCGGAATACACCGTGTTGTATTTTATTTATATCATACCCACCCAAGAAAACGCGCCTTTCAATGCAATATGAACCAAAAGTTGGTGCCCCTAAACCCTCAAATGCAACAACATCAGTTCCAACGTCCGGATTCTGAATTCGAATTTTTGAAAGGGGCACACGCGGTTAGGGCGAAACGCGTTCGAATCGTTTTATGGAAGCCAGGGAAGCGTTCGATAACGGGTTCCGGACCGGGCCGTACCGTAAAGTACGGCCCGGTCCGGAACCCGTTATCGAACGTTATCGCGGCCCGGGTATGATATAAAACAAGGTACAATAAGGCTGACTTGATCATACTAGTAATGTAGTTTTAACATTTAGGAATTTTCGTGCTTCATAACAATAAACGTATGACCCATAAGTCTTTTGTGTAAGAGCACACTGTGTAGATGTGCAAGAATTATAGACTAATCCATGTTTGCCAGAAAACTCGAGATGACAATTGCACAGTCATTTATGGTCTTCATCATAAAAGCCGAAGCTATATGATAGTAAAACATGTGTTATCTGTCGTCATTTTAACGCCGCAATACTATCATGAATATTTTGACCCCAAAAAAATTACTCAATATAATATGAGCTGAATACAACAATGTAAAGGCCTCGTAGTAAGGTTTTAGCGAGACCTTGTAGTAAGGTAATGTAGCAAATGTGCGTCATACTACCCATTAGGATGAAAGTAGGAAATATCATTCTATTGTGTAAGAGCACAGGAGCGTTTGTAGCAATTATAGATGGAGCGTTAATCTTTTGTGTCTGATGAAGGCCAGTCACACTTACAAAGATTGGTCATTACATGCTCTAATGACTCTGACAAAAACAACCAACCAACATCCTGCTGTGTCTGTTACAGAACGCGCAGGGAGACGGCGAAGGCAAGATGGAGAAATTCCTGATGCTGGTTGCAGGTCAGTCATGTTTTTTACAGTCCAGTTTTAAGCCTTCGTCTTTAAGTTATGGAATGCATTAACGTACAAATTGAAGCTTAGATTATATCATATAAGCAAGGGGTTTGAAAGGAAACTTGTAAGCTGGCAGCCCTACTCTTTCGAGGACCGACACGGAGCGACGGTTTTGCCAACGAGAAAGTTTTCACTCGACGGCACAACCGAGTCTTTTCTCCAAAAAAAATTTAAACCGCTGCCCCACAGGTCTACGAAGGAGGCAAAATCCGCCTAAAATCATGTTCAGCAGTACACTGGTATTTGTCAAAGTGAAGATATTTTCTTCAATGTTAACACAACTTATGTTTTTTGCATTCGCTATTTTTATGATGTTTAAATTTGTAGCTAGTTCATGACTACATAATATATGGGTCGCTGTTTCAATGTTTTAGAACATAGCATGATATAAGTCTACCAGTAAATTGCCTTTTTTGCCATTCTTTATCTTTCCCCGGCCTTCTTTCTTTTTTTATCCATCTCAGGACACAGCGAGCTCAATTTCATGGCTAACATGTTACACCCCTTATAAACACCGAATCCACTACAGTACCACCCCGCTCAAATGGAAACAAGATCATAAGCATTCTACTATTATTAAGCAACAAATTATGAGAATCCCTAAAGCTCCCCAAATGCGTCTTGAAAGCTCCCCAGATTAGCTGAACATTCATTGTGTGTTTTTGTATACATATCTTGTCAAAAACAAACTATGTGGTTAGACACAGCAATTTTTATTTAAGCCTTTTATTTAGCAAGTGCAAAAACTGACAACTTCATTCTTGGAAACCTTATCAGAGCCACAAATACAGCTTAACTAAAAAAAATACCACACGGAATATCTTTTTTCTATTATATTGTCCTGAGGACAGAAAGGGAACGATTTTTTTTTAATCAAGCGGAAAATCAATGCACACAGGAATGTCATCTATACAGCTTGCGTGATGGAATCTTATCTCGATGCTGATCATAATTCTTTTAAAATTTCTTAACATTGAGAGCTTTGTATCATATTTTAACCTCAGGGTAGTGGATGGCTTTGTACTTTTGTATTCAGAGGAATAATCTGAAGAAAAGGCTACTGTATAAGTACGATTACAGGGAAGAGGCTTCTCTATGTAAATCTCTCTGTATTAAAGATAGTTAGATTTATATGTTTACCTGTTTTTTTTTTATCGCTCCTGGTTCATTACAAACTCTACTGTTTTTTACGCTATTTACCTTAATTCATTGCTGTGATGTTTTTTCTATCCCAAAAGAGCAAGAACATGCAAATAAAAATACATCATCATCGTCATTACGGCTAATATTCTTTTACCACAGCGCTGTTAGTAACGGTGTTGATGGTGTTTGGGACGGAGTTGAACCCCTGCCGTCCACCGCCGGATGTGAAAGTGTGCGGCTGCTCGGAAGGAGTTTCCAGTACCAACCCTGGAGACACCTGTACGGCGTGTGCGTGCGCGCCTGACAACACAACCTGGGACTGCTTTGGTAAGTTTTAGGGCACAGCCTATTAATAGGGCTTTCCTATATGTTAATACATGGGAATTATGTTAAAACAACGTGATCAGCATCCATGTACCTTTTAGTGAGTTTAAGACCTTGAAAAACATACATTGGCAAGGTAGTCTAACCTCTCAAGTTCCCATTCACCAAAAAAACCTACGCACTTAAACCATGGGAGAATTCTTCCCAAACATTGAGAAGTGACGACCACCCCCCCCCCCGCCACCTCACCCTTCTGGACAGCTGATGGCCGCATGTAAACCTATATCTTCGTCAGCGAGCCAGACAAAACAAACATGGCTGCAAGTCTGTTTTTGTCAACAAAATAAAAAATACTACAACCCTTACCTATAACATCCAAGTCCAAAACAGCAAAATTGCCCAAGAAAAGTACTTCTTTACACATTACATCACATTGCCATCTCTATAGAGGGCCAATATACTAGAACTTGGCCCTCTGCGCCTGCGCCTATAATTACTGACCTGTGCCCTTTAGTACGGTCTATGCGTGCTTCTCTCTCTCTCAATCACTACTGGATGTGGAAGTATTGTTTTGGGGCGGATTTGTCTGTGCGTTTGGGTGTGATAAGCATATCATTGGGCCTGGGAAGAACAGCTACAATGCCATGCGGTCAAAAGGTCACACATAGGAAATGGGCTAGACTTTAATGTCACTGAATCTGGTCTGTAGTCTTCAAGGATTTTTGGTCAAATTTAAACCCAGGGGTCGCTTTTATCTGCCACATATATTTTTCAGGCAGTCATTGTTCGTAAATGGATGTTACAGAATATTATGCTATGCTTAAAGGCCGCAATGAAGGACTCGTCTTGTCAAAACACCGTGAAGGATTATTTTCCCTATGCTGGGCCTTTTGAATACATGAGATGGAAGGACAATACACGTTCGTGCTGTTAACATACGCGTAGAGGCTGGTTATGTAGGCTTTATTTTATGAAGGAAGTTACATTCACGTTCCAACTTCAATTCTTCCATTAGGGGTAAGTGGTAGTGTTAAAAACATATGCTTTAAAGGAATCAGATTTTAGTTCACATTACATAGTCTGCAAAGATGTTACATGCTAATATGGATATTAAAGAAGAAATAGAAATTAGACACCAGCCTTACTGCTAGATAACCTTTTTCAGTTTTACGAGATGCCTTTTCCCTTTTCCAAAAAAGCAGTTGCTTTGTGTATATTTAACCTATAGTTGATCAGTCCGGCTCCTTGTGTTGAGTTAAAACTCGATATAACAGTTCTAGATATGTCAAACAAGGCCGCTACTGACGTCAGCATCAGGGAAAAGCTTCTGCCATATTTATGGGTTCACCACACCACGAAGTGGTGTGGTGAAACCATATTGCTTTTTCTGATGTTTCTTCTTCTCCTTCTCCTTCTTCTCCTGCCATTTTTTAAATGGATTCAGCTTCTTCATTTTAGGGCCTAAGGTCCTGAAATTTGGTATGGAGGTACAGTGGGCACATACCCCTAGGCGTTTTTTAAATTATTGTGATACAGGCTTTTAGAATGGTTTCATTTGAGTTTTTTGGCTGTGTTATAGCAAATGTATTACTGTGTTAGTTTGGCTTGTTTACCACGTTTGGGCATGAGTCATCAGAATGGAATGCAGGGCATCAACCAATAGGCATGCAGCTTTCCTCTATACTTCTTGCTGATTGGCTGTTGGGATTTAACTTGATTAACACCTGCACAGAAGCATTTCCATACTGACAGTATGTCTGTATTCAAGTGTTTTGGTAGGTATTTCAAGCTTTCCTGCTCCAGCATTGGAATGCCGGGCATGGACGTTTTTTTTTATTTTGAAAATCAACAGTTTGCATTATGCAATTAAAAATCCTAACCAATAAAGTAGGGAATAGCTATCCAACTGTTGTTTTAGTTGTATTTTACTTCATATTATAGTTATATCAATGTAAATCATTGTTTTCCCTTGTGTTTCTCATTCTTTCCCTGCCATGTCGTAAAATGTGGTGAACCCATCGCTGTATTTGCTCCAAAGCAAATATTGGCCTTTCTAGTTCAGTGTATATTTTGTTTTTTATTCATTTTGAACAAAGCCACCACAGCATGACTCTTCTTTTTAAACCAATGTTTAGGGTTATCATTTTTCTTTTTTTCCTGTGGTTAGTTCGTGGAATATTATGCTATGCTTAGTACACAAAAGGCATAAGTGAAGGACTCTTCTTTTCTAAACATTGTTCTGGATCATTTTTCACCAGCTGAGCTTTTGAATACACGCGTTATACACACAATACAGCTGCGTGTGGTAAACATGTGGTGACCTCGAGTGAAGAAGGCGTTGGCTCCACTCCCGTGAGCATACATAAACGATTTTTCCATCAATGCCGTTATATTCACGGTACATTTACAAATTTTTAACAACAGAGCTGGTCACAAACAGAGGAGTTTTGAATGCTCTGGTTTTATTTAGTTCACATTTCTGATAATCTTTGGGAAATAAGGAGGTAGGAGGAAACACAACACAAGGTTTGTTGGTAAATACGACTTTATAGTTGACACATGCAAACATTTACATCTTGGCACCAGTCCATTATTTTTACAAATTAACGTTCTAAAATTTGCGATAAATGGGTTATTTAGACACGTACACATCCCTACATATGTCAAGGGGCGAACGAAAAAAAAGTTTGTGTGGCTTTATCATGGCAATTTTACAATTATTAAAAATCTCGAAACTCGGTTTCTGGAAAAGACTTGACTGCCAAAGCTCTCTTTGTACACTGATCTTCTGTGAGGGAACGGGTGTGTGTGCTAGTTACCAAAATGGTAAAGGAAGTTTACAAATGACAAGCTTTTGTTGATGTTTTTTTTTCTCTCTCCAGTCTTTCGGCATGTTTGGCTGGACATCGACCCAGAGTGGGCAGTTGAGGAAAGTGGAGGGACGTTCTGCGACATTGAATGCCTGACCACCGTGGATAAAGCAGAGAACGCGTTTGACGGCGCACCTGGCACCTTCTGGGAGCCGCTGTACGAACCGACCTGGTACCGGCACTGGGTCATCCTCGATCTGCAGCAGGTGTGGAGGATCTACCTGATAGGGATTGCCAATTATGGCGACATCGTGCACGACGTCATGAGCTTTCTGTTAGAAAGGTAACTAATCTTTGAGTTTGTGTAAAAGAAAATATTAGTGATCTTATAATGATTCTAACTTGATTTCCTACTTATTAGCTCGCCCACTCATTCATAACGTCAACTAGCTTGCTAACTTTTTAGTCGGAACCATTTTATGTATATTCATGAGATGCTCAATTGGCTACCAGGTCGCTTTTTATATGGGTAATGATGGAAGGGGCAATGGTCAAACATTATATGATGTTCACATCCTTTAAAGTTCTAATACGTATTATAAATGTAATATATTTCATAACGTTACGTACAAAAAGACCATATCCGTGAATAGTTCCATCAGGAAGTCACTGAATAAAGTGACTCTTTCTACACAATCTACGTAACACAACCAAGTATTTCATTCAGCCGACGTTTCGGTGACCGTCTTTCATCTTTCTCAGGGAAGTTCTATAAATGTGCTGCAGTTCAATATGAACCAGTCAGAATTGCCCTGAGGAAGGTGACAGACGGTCACCGGAAGTACGGCAGACTTGGTTAGTAGAAAGAATCTTTTTAGTCAAAAAGAAACACACAAACACGCATTGTTACCACTGGTATTGTTGGTTTAGATTTAATTACACTACACTTGCAATTAACCCTAGGGAGTAATTGGCAAATGATGACAGGTGTAATTGTTTTCGCCAAAATTACGTAATTATCATCTATACCTGAAGAAAGATCATGTCAGATGCCGTCTTAAAGCTTTCCAAAGTCATCTGTTTAGTTATAAGCTCAAGTGTAATTCTTGCTTTCCTATTATCTAACATTCTGCTTATTCTTTTTATCAGTTCTCCCAGTGCTGCCTATGTTTGGGAGTTTGCTGACAGTTCTGATGAGGTGCAGGCAGGACTTACGTCTCTGCAAACCTTTGACGTTTACGCTCAAGCTCAGTTCCTGAAGATCACTGTGGACACACATAGCGGGGAGGGACCGAGGATTCGGGAAATTTCCCTCTACGGCACAGGTATTTACATTCAAGACTAATGTATTTACTTGTATTCCATTGTGTCTTTACATTTTATATTGCAAAATGCAAAGTTACGCAACATTTTATTATATATTTATCTATATGTCCCATTGGGCATATCTAATAATGTTTCTTTTTGCTACCTTATCATTTTAGTTGCCTTAACATTTTGGTATTATTTAAATTCATAAATTCAAGGCCACTTCGATTTATTTTCTAAAATTTCAGATTAAAAAAAAAAGATAATTTGGTAAGCAAAAAAGGGAAATAAAAAAACCTGTTGAAAAAAAAGCTACATATGTATTATTACGGGGTAGTCAACATAGTAGAAAGTGAACTGTGAGTTTTTGTTGTATTGACAAATCGAAAAAATGTCATTGTAGGAAGAAAGCAACAGCAAAGGTTCAATTTGATGTGCAGGTTTTGTCCTTGGTGCTGAACGTATCTGTAGAATACTATGGATGCATTTTATTTATCTCTGAATTCTTACTTGTAAGGATGTGGAAATTATTTCTGTAGGTTATCATTACTACAAGGTTAACCTAAAATATGTGGGTACCAAATTAGACTCATTACTTGTTTATTATCTAATTGCCATGTATTGTACTTATTGCCAAGTTTTAAAGATTGATGGTTTTCCATGTTAGATAAACCACCACTAGCCAAGCCGTGTATTGTGGTCCATACTGGCTGCGTCTTAAACGAGACAGCTGAACAAAAAGCTCCCCCTGGTGACCAGCAGTGTTATGTCATCGCTGGGATTCATGAACGGATTCGCGAGTAAATACACCTTGATTTTATTGTTTTAAACATTTCCTTCTTAATCACATTACTTATTTTACTTCCATATAGTGTGGTATTGTTTTCAATTGTTAACGACCGTGTCTTTGTCAAGTCGTGTTTTCGCACCAAAACGTATTGAAATATTTTATCAAAAATAACATCGGGGTGTAAATGATATTGACTATAATGTTCAGGTGCAGAGTCAAAGTCTTTAAATGTTTTCTGGAATAAGCATCCTCTTAATATTTTCAATTTAAGGATAGTTTTAGTCCTCCATGGGCTGTTTTCTTCATTTGGTTACCACTGTGAAAAAGGAGGTATTGTTTTGGTCTCTGTGCCTGTTTAAGAATATTCATAATAAGCATAACCTAATTGTTTATTTTAATATATTGTATTAATTTGTGGTATTTGGTTGGTAAGAAAGACAAAGGTAAAGATTAAATTCGGGCCTAATGGTTGGTGGCAATGGTACTGCAGCCAAACTCCGGTTTTTTGTATCTTTTGTTGAAATATATCATGCAGGTAGAACTCCAAATTATTTTTTACAGTTGTTGTTTTTTTTTTGTTGTTGTTCTGAGGCGGTGCGTACTCTTACATGCTTAATGGATCGTGTTTTTGTTCTTTCAAACATAGTATGAGCAACGCCTTTCCTGTGCATCGGACTGGCAACGTCTCTTTCCACGGTGACCTGTCAATTGAATGTCTTGAGGATTATGAGGTCTGTTAAATTTCTTACTGATTGGATTATGTAGATGCCATCCGCGTAACAGAACCGGTACAGAATTATTCTAGCATATTTACTAAAATAATTGTTTACAATTATTTGCAAAATTCTGTTAATAAATCGACGGCTTGCGGTAAAGGCAATTATGCATAGAAGGCCCACTACACTTGTGCCCAGCAATATGTAAAGCAAAAACGGACAAAAGGTTTAGGTGAACATTTTATGGTGACAATGACAAAAATGGTACAGCTCATCAAATGTTTAAATGTTGATAAATGTAATAAAAAGTAAGAGAATTCATTTTTGATATATTTTATTGTATTGTCATGATACACAAATATTTTCCCATTTTCATTTTTGATTCAAAGTAAACGTTTAGAACATTGTGACTAAACTATAATTAAAATAGTTCAAAATTGTTACAATTATGGTTTGTAAGCAATCACATCTAATTAAATTTGCGAGTGGCATCTTTAATGTTCCTTCTCAAATTTATGGTGCCTTTGTTCAAAAGACGACATATGTAGAAAATTCTGTTGATATTGATGTGGTAATTTTACTACGAACGTTTTATTCAGCCCTATTTCGGTTTTACATGTGGCGAATGGGTATAACTAAGAGAGCTACTTTAAATTTGCAGGCTAACGGTTTAAGTTTCTTTCTCCAGATCAGCTTATACTGGACATTACGAGGAGTAGGACCGGTAACATCCGGGCCACCGTTAGACGACATTTTACCCGAGGGCATACCAGACAACAACCTACATTTCACCCTCTCACCACGGACTTTACCACTTGGTTTCTACATGGTGCAGGTACGCAAAGATAAACGTGCCATTAACAGACACCAAAGGCGACAGGAAAATAATAGACAGAAAAAAATGTCTCCTCTGCCCTTATGTTAACAACTGAGCGTAGGGTGGTGCCCATATCCATTTCTGTAGCCCTTGGGCGACACACAGTTGTGCAATGCACTACAGCAGGGGGCTAGTCCACTGGTAGTGCTGTGTATTTGACCTTCCAACACTCTTTCTAATGTGTGCTGAGTGCTAAGCAGAGAAATTAGTGTGCGCCCTTTAAATGTCTTTGGTTTGACCCGGCCGAGGTTTGAACTTACGACCTCCCGGTTACAAAGCGAGCACTCTATCAATTGAGCTATTCAATAAAATAGTAGATATTGTTTAATGATCTGAATAGTATGCCAGAGGAGAAAACTGGTAACCTACTTGCTTTTGTTTTAATATTTCTACTACGTGCAAGCTGCATATTTGTAGATTATGTGGGTCTGTTTTGTATATTTTTTCTTTCAAAGGTTCCCGTGTTACCTGTTTAATTAACATAAATTATGTCAATTCATAATCTTCTGTACCTAAATATCACAAGTTGTAAAGAGATTAAAAGTAGTATGTCAATATAGAAGGACGTTGTAGCATTATCTCGTATACTATGTAAATAAGGCTCTATGATTTTTACCACAAGATACGTAATTATGCATCTAAGTTTAGTATCACCAAGCATGTCTAATGTAAGTCACACATCTCAATCACAAGCATGACACCTAACTAGATGTTCACATCTTGGTCCTCGGCTTTGTTTTTTGTTTGTTTGTTTGTTTGTTTGTTTGTTCATTTAGGAAGCTCCCATTAGTGACCATACATCACTATTCTTCCTGGAGCCATTTACATAAATACATTTACTATTATTTGCATCCACTAATTAGCTGCTATCAAGAAAACCTATCTTATCAAGGTATTAAATTACACATAGGTATCAATTAATACACCAATTAATAATGTTACATTACACAGTTAACAAAAAAACAATTATGTACTAGATGTCTGAGAGGTCAGAGGTCATGTATTTGCACAAATATATTCAAAACGTTTACCACCAGGAGTTAATTGGTGTGTGTTTGTTTTCATGTGTTTTTGTCCAATTCCAAATTTATTCTTTAAACGTTCATGGGTTTGAGGACGTAATTCATTATTCTATCATGGAAGTTCATGGGTGTTGGTAGTTACATAAAGTTAAAACTTTTGGTCCAACTTATTTGAAGTGGGACAAGCTTCACCGGGTCAGTCTACTGAGGAAGAGGAGAGTGACCGATCGAAAGCTCTACGTGATTTTTTTGTGTTGGACCAAAAGTTTTAACTTTAAACAAAAAAACGTGATTCATTATTATTGTTTCCACAGTTTCAAGCCACATTGATTGTACCAGGAAGTGGCCACGTGTCTATCGCAGCAGTGCAGACGTGGGTAGAAGTTGCCCGGATGCCGGTAACCTACACAGTCGGTCCTGTTCAGCGAACAATCGACACCACCACTGACCTGACTGTTAACGCTGCGCTCTCGTATGACCCGGATGGGGTTCTTAACTCCAGGGGGTTCTTTTACGACTGGAAGTGCACATACGAAGTCACTCTACGTAAGATCCTGTAGTTTCTGTAACTTTTAATTAGCTCATGTCAATACTAGCAGAACAGCAGGATTAGCGAATCCTATTAGTGATGTCAAAGGATTTTCACTATCTTGTGTATTCATAAAGTATCCACAACTGGGTACTACGACCACTGTAAATTGCACATACTATTGACACCTCGTCTGTGTTTTTTTTTTGGGGGGGGGCGGTGTTTCCCCTTAACTGATGGACAATATACCATATAAGCATCAATATGTTAGAGGGTTTTTTAGTGGTTAAATTAATTAAAAGCATACAAGAAATTTGGCCCATATTTAAAACAATCTTAGCAGACAACATAGAAAATTAATCCATTATATTCATATTAAATACGTTCAAAATAGTATAATACAACAAAGTTGAGGCTAGTTACAAAGTTTTCATTAAAAACAGCCCACTAATCACAAAACCTGTCTGATTTAGTGATGCCAGAATTTAAATGAGCTTTTTTGCACTGAATGTAATTAATGTTATTTCCAGCCCTAGATGTTTCGAAGGTCAACATTGCTATTTGTAAGAAAGCTACGTCCAGTGGCGTTGGTTTTGGTGGTTATCCGGAGAAGGCAAACGACGGGAATAACGGAGGAGGCATGTATGCTTCTGGGTCCTGCGCTCACTCTGCCGGGGAGGCCAACCCCTGGTGGATGGTAGACCTAGGCACTCAATATCCAATCGAAAGGTATCACAAATTATCATTTGCGTGCATATCCACCGTCTTTGGTGTCTAAACGTTTTGTGTTTGAGTCTACTGTTAATTCCTGATTTTTTTCACTGTACTGTTATGTTCACTGTTCTCACTGTCACTTCTGTACTACGAACTTATCATTACAGTGAACAGATAATTGCTGGACTTTCTTATTCCTGCACATTTCGCCACCGTGAATGTATAGTTCTGTAAACATGTCCATTTTTCTCAGACCGTGAAATTTTGCTACCGTGAACATGAAGCAAATAACAGAATTTACCTGCAAAGTTAACTGTTTTGGTGTATATATCTTTACACACATTTTCGGGGTGTAAGAAATATGTCAATAGCCCTAACACTACAACTACAATTTAAAATCCCGTACAAATACAGTGCATTGCAGATTTAAAAAAAAAGCTTAAATCAAATCATCTGGACACTTCCACATAAAATTATACCTTTACAGGATTGTCGTGTACAACCGTCTTGACTGCTGTTCAGATAGAATCAGTCCCTCCAACATCCATGTGGGCAACTCTCCCGTGCTCCTTGACAATCCGATCGTCGGAAACATAAACTATGTTGCGGGGACACTCGCATATGAATTCATCTTTGATGGCATCTTGGCCCAGTATGCCGGCATCGCACTTGCCAGGGCCGAACTTTTGAATTTCTGTGAATTTGAGGTGTACACGAATGAAGCTGCGTTACTACCAGGTGAGTAAAATACAAGTGTGTATACCTGTGTGTTTTTTTTTGTTTGTTTGTGTGTAAATGTAGGTTTGCGTACGCGTGTGCCTGTTCCTGTGCTTGTGTGTGCGTGCACATTTCTGTATATTGATGTATATGTGGAAATGTATGCACGCACCTTTAAGTGTGTGTTTGCATGTTTCTCAATATTGAAGTTTGGTGGGTGTATTTCTTTGTATGTTTCTGTGTGTTTCTGTGTGTGTATGAGTGTGTGTGTGTGTGTGTGTGTGTGTGTGTGTGTGTGTGTGTGTGTGTGTGTGTGTGTGTGTGTGTGTGTGTGTGTGTGCCTGTCTCTCTCTGTGTGTGTGTGTGTGTGTGTATGTCTGTGTGTGTATGTATGTGTGTGTTTGTGTGTGTTTGTGTGTGTGTGTATGTGTGTGTGTGTGTGTGTGCGTGTGTGTATGTATGTATGTATGTATGTGTGTATGTATGTGTGTGTTTGTGTGTGCGTGCGTGTGCATTTGAGTTTCCATGCTTGCGATTATGTATACATGCCACTTCCGTATATTTCAATGTGTGCGTCAAACAAAAACAATACGTAATATTTCTTAAACTTCGAAATATGTTGGAAACATTAACATTTTCAGACGACTGTGAGGTCGTGCTGGGGTGTCTGGTTCATTCTGCCCCCAACGGCGAACGTATGTTCACAAGAAGTCTGATCACGTACGACAGACCGCCGGGACTCATAGCGAACGTCACCGTAAACATCACCGCCGGACTGTTCCCGACTGTGTCCCTGTACCAGACGATCCACGTCGTTCCTGATGAGAGCCTGGCGGGGCTGTATTTAGAGTAAGTCAGTAATGTTCAATTCGTCGTTGTTAAATATAGGTTTTTTTTTTTTTTATTTACTTCAGAATTCACCTCAAAACAAGGCTCGTGAGAGCCACTTACGTGTTTTGGGTTACAGTGATGACTGCGTGGTCAGATATTTGTTCACCCTTGATTTAAACCGTTGGAGGTTGTAATCAGCGGTGAAACATTTACGGGGAAGCTTGTTCCACAGTGAAGTGGTTCTGGGGAAGAAACTGTCAGCATGAAATTTTCTCTTGACTGATGGACTATTGAGGAAGAAAGGGTGATTTTCCGCTGTTGAGGTAGCTAAGCGTGTTCTTGCAGAGAACGTTCTGAGTGGGGGTACGAGGGAGTGAAGTTCAGCAGAGCATCTGCCGTGGAAATATCGATATAGTAACGCCAGGCTAGCAACATCGCGCCGGTGTGAAAGCGGTTGTAGCAGCGGAATAAACACAAGGTCTGAAGGCGCGGTCTTGGGGTATTTGGTTCCAATTGTATGAAACTTTTAGGCAGGCCTCTAGGTAGGCGTAAGATGCCGCGTAACTCCGTAATAGGTTTCTACTGTAGCACTTTTTTCTACAAGATAGCTGTATTTAATATGGTATCTGCATGGCTATTCCTAAAATACCCTCATTTTTCATCGTACGGCGTATGCAGTGTCACATAATAGATGTAAAATATGGCACTGACATAGACCCATGTATGACATATTGTAGGAGCAGGCACAGATACAAATTTTGGTACAATGCTGAACTTCTGCCTGCATCTAAACAAATTTGGCCAATTATCTGTGTTATACATTTAGCCAGCTGTCTAATCAGCAGTTACTTTGTGTCTTTTCAGGTCTGTTAACATATTGTAATTTGAAAAAAAAAGAAGAAAAATGTCCTTATCCTTTAGCGTTTATTCGTAATTATTGTCATTTTTAGATGCTAATACCGATCTTTATTATTTTGATCCGGAATAATGACTGCTTTACAATAATATTTAGATGCGGGGATAACCATGGCTACATAATTGCACTTCGTTTTCAGACTGATCCTAATGAAGCTCGTAACTGTTGTTTGGTTCACTTTTTCACAGGTGTACGGAAAACTGCAACCAGTACAGCACCATAGCAGCCTGGCCGCTGGTCCTGGACACACCCTCAGAAATACAGGGCACTATAGAGTACAGTCTGGTGGAGTATCCGGCAGGTCATGCTGCTGAGAACTGGACATCTGTGATAGAAGTTGTAAACTCGACTGTTATAGTCCCCGCTGGAATATTTGCGGTATGATACACTTTTGTTAAGCTGAGTATCACGATTGATAGTTGTATCTTGGATACATTACCATCTTAATCAAAATCAACCACATGTCAGTTGGGAAAAGGATGGCCTAATCTACAATTACACTAGCAGCTAACGACCTATGGACTTGAGTGGCAAATGTTTTTATGATTGTAATGTATATTAAGTTACAACTGTAATATATATTCTTATTGTGTGTTTTCCCGTGTATATTGCGTATTTTATCCCAGAGACCTGAGTGTGCTGGTGAAATGAAATGAAATAAAATAAAATAAAATAAAATAAAATAAAATAAAATAAAATAAAATAAAATAAAATAAAATGAAATGAAATGAAATGAAATGAAATGAAATAAAGTAAAGTAAAGTAAAGTAAAGTAAAGTAAAGTAAAATAAAATAAAATAAAATAAAAATAAAATAAAATAAAATAAAATAAAAATAAAATAAAATAAAATAAAAATAAAAATAAAATAAAAATAAAATAATTTGTTAATTATTTGAGTAAAACAGTCATATTTTAACCCCGCTATCTTATCTCGCAGGACGTAGGATTTTACACGATCCGGCTGACTGACACCGTTGGAAGCTGGGAGAAGTTTTCGGATTGGAGATTTGAAGTCCTGCCCAGCCCTTCCCCAGGCTCAGCTGACAACAGTACTGCAGAAGGAGACCTTCAGGACCTATCAGGATTGTGCACTCTACTCCCGGCCACTGGTACTGCTTTGATTGACAAGTTCTGCGTAACTTGTCAAGGTAACGTCATTATTTATAGGTTTCAGGCGTTGTTCTCAAGTTAATCAAATATTAAATAAATTCATTGTGCAAATGTTTCATGGATTTGAGAAAATTGAAACATTTATGAAAGTAAGGAAACAGAGAGCTATTTTTTTCTTTCCACTGGTTCAAGAGTCAGACACAGGAAATTGGGTACTAAAAACTGGCCAAGACCAGGTAAAAGGTAGCTGTTGGCAAGATGCCAAATGGAAAACCCTTTGATATAAACGTAGAGAAAAACAACAAAATACACACAACGAAAAATTTGCAAGCATATGCTGTGGTCAAATATTCCATGAGAATTTGACCTCTCTGATCTGTATTTCTTGTATTTTGTTTCTTCTGTAGAATTTGTTGATCTACTTGGACCACTGGAGACGCAGGTAACGTTTGAGCTGGAACCGTTAGCTGAAATCGCCAAGGTGACGTTTCCTGGAGACGGACCGCCAACCGTGAACGAAATCATCCTAAATTCGTTCACCGGATGGGTGAGTAATAGTCAAAATTGTCCAAACAGCTACCCTCATAAGCTTGTAATCTCACTATAACGACCGCAATTTTTTTCCAACAGACTTAATCATAAAGAACTTACCTAAGCCGACCACTTCCTTACGTAATGCGCACTATTTTAGACCGCATATGACCAAAAGGGGGGGTGGAAAACGTTTTATATAACTAGCTAGAGATCTTAAAAGAGATAGAACCGGTCAGATTGCCATTGGTTTTGACAGCATGGCAGTTTTTGTGCATTGGAAAATGCACCGACTTGGTCACTTCATGCCTTTAGCATCAGTTCATTGTAAAATGAGCGTTATTTTTTCTGCGATTCTCTTGTACTCTATCTTGTCAATATTTTTCTTCTATAAGACGGTCACTTGTTAAGAAGACCATTTTTTCTTAGAACCATGGGTTGTCAACTTTTGACTAGTTTCGTTAAATTCTTTTTAGTCGGCTGCATCCAAATTTAATGTGGTAAAATGCGGGATTTTTCCATTTTATAGGTGAGATACACAAACCTTTTCGATCTTTCATCTGGCATCGTCATCTTGCACGTGCGAATAGGATCGCCTGATGGTCGCTTTATTGAATTCGATCTGGAACCTGCACAGGTGGATTTGCATTTCCTTTGCCTACATATAATTATCATCATCCTAACATGATTATTTACTTTTGTTGCATAAATGTTGATTATTGCTTTGGATAGGTTGTGGCCTTTTCGTGTTGGCAGCGCTTAGGTGTATAGAGAGGATAACAGGTAGTCAAAAGGTCAGGCACATGAAATGGGGTCAACATGACGTTACCAGGATGTACCCATGAGCCAGATGGAATTCGTTTGTCATGGGGGAATTCAGGAAGCAGATCGATGATTGCACAGGCAATTGTTCAACTTCTTCTGGGTTCTTACCTAGCAAGGATTAAATTTACGTTTGTCACACAATCTCAATAAATTCATTTGATTATATTTAACGTATATTAAGATATAAACCTGGTTCTTTGACTTTGTTTGCATTTTTCATTTATCCAAGTTTTTAAACTACGGAGAAAGAAATGAGAGTAATAAACATTCATGGCCTGATAAACATAAATTGATAACTGCTCACAATTGTTCCTGTACTTCAGATAAAGGCACCGACAATGGAGCAGCTCCAGGGGTACCTAGACGGGTTCATTACCTATCCGACCGGCACGTTCTTCAGTCTGATCAGAAGGGGAGAAGCAGGAACTGCTTTTCTCGGTTCTGTCATCGCGTCCTACACGGCTAGTCACATAGCAGCTGATGGTGGGGATATAACAGAGGTGAATATTTTCACTTCCTATATACGTTTAGGGGAGTTTTGGTTTCAAATATTACATCAAAGAATGACAGGTGATCACCATGCCTGGTTAAACCAAATTGTTATACCGCTGTATATGTAAATTACACCATTCATACATGATCATACATATATACGTACGATTGAATAACTTTTTACGTAACCCACTTGTATATTTGCCCGGCATATATGGCCGGTGCAATGGCCAAGTAGGTAGTGTGCTCGCCTTGTATTCGGTAGGTCGTGAGTTCGATCTCCGGCCCAGTCATACCAAAGATTATAAAACTGATACATACTGTTTTTTTCTACTTAGCACTAATCATTTGAGAAAGAGTACCAGTTATAACCCCTGCAGTAGTGATTTCAAACTGTGTGTGGCTCAAGTTCTACGAAACGGAGGTGGGCTTCGCGATATGCGACCATGCTAATGGATGGGGGAGGGTTTTACCTACCCCCCTAATTGTAAAGTCATGTTCCAATACACTTGTAAACCTAAAGCATGTGCGTTTCTTTCCCCTAACTCTTGTGTTTAAAAGGTAACTTTTCCTTGATACCCTTGATGTAGGGAGTGGACACGATGGCAGCAGGTTTCTCTGAGCTGAACGTACAGGACATGGAGACTGTGAACGGCGCATCTCTGTCTCTGGTTATGCTGACCGCCATCCCGGAAATGGTGTCAGGAAATACCCAGGTCAGTTTACTATTGTTAACATTTATTCCTTAGGTTACATATATCTTCCTTTATTGAAAGATTTAGTGGAATCCCTAGGTATGAGTTGCTTAATAATATCAAGGGTGTTTTATTCCATATTGTAAAATGCTCTAACGTTTTGTTCATCTTAGTATTGTTAGTATTGCATCGGCCATCATTCGCCATTTATTATTATTATTATTATTATTATTATTATTATTATTATTATTATTATTATTATTATTATTATTATTATTATTATTATTATTATTATTATTATTATTATTATTATTATTATTATTATTATTATCATCATCATCATCATCATCATCATCATCATCATCATCATCATCATCATCATCATCATCATCATCATCATCATCATCATTATTATTATTATGTAATCAATAGGTTCAAATGAACCTATTTTTCCTTGTGAAATCATTCCTTGCGTACGCATGTACAGTTTAATAAAATAGGCTCAAGTTATTATTAAAACGATAAAAAGCCTGAAAAACAATATTTGAATTGAATTGTTTCAGGTGTTGTCTGCAAACGTACTGTCTGAATGTTTAAAGTCGACACGAGAGCAGTCGACAAATGTGACAGAAATGCCGACGGAGGAAGTTAACAAAGCAGCAGCACTCATGTTTACTGGTCAGTTAATAAATTAGTTGATATCATAGTCTTGAGGTTTCTTTAACGTTGGGTTTGTCTGTTTGTGTGTTCGCTTAAGCTGCCGTGCAGTTGCTTTGAAAGACTAACAGGAGGTTAGGTCAAAGGTCCCAGAATGGTCAACATTTTGTATCCAGGTCTGTGTGCTGGAGCAAGTGGGAAAATAGACAGAATAAGCGAAAAAAATGAAAAAAAATCACGAAAAAGAATAAAAGTCGACATGTATTCCCTAGCATATTGGTTGGGTTTGTCAGCTATATCTATATTATTTAGATCGTGGTAAAATACAGTTAATTTGCATCATGTCTATGCGTTTTCCAGGGGTAGTGAATATATTAAAAGCATCTGAAACAATGTCTGTGTCGGAGCATCTCGAAGACGACTCCTTGACCGACAATTTACAAAATGTAAGTACAGGTAAAATTATTTTGCATTTGACAAGTCGCTTGTTACCATCAACATATCATTTGGTTTCAAGGCGAAATATACCTCTTCTCACCAAAATTAGCGAACGTTTTTGTTGGCCAATAGTAGATAGCTGAAGACTGCTGTGGGGTTTATTTCCTACTACGTAAAGCAACCGTTGTGGTCTAAAGCATTCTTATTATAAATAAATCACACATTTCAAAAGTTGAAAACAAATTATCACACCTAATTTAGCTTACTATAACCCTGTCACAGAACCAAGAAGCCACAGAGATCGGTTTGAAGGCCCTGGATGTTCTGGACGAAATCTACCTGATCAACAGGATGCCGGAATATCCGAACCGGGAGATGTTTGCTGACGTTGCCATGTCGACGGTATGTTCTATTTTTTTTATAGATTAACATAGAATTAAGTACTTTATTTATATAAAAAGAATATCAAAGTGTACTCAAGTACACATTTTTCACTGGTTCTCTTTTTGGTCAAGTTTCTGAGATTCCTATCGCCTTACCTGGTTTCTGTAATCCCTATCGGGCCAACAGTATTGTACATGCTTAGACGTCTTATAATTTTTGTCCCTTGGACAAGAATGATACAGTAAGGGAAGGCAGTCTACCATATCAAACTGCCTTGGTAAGAGTGTTGTTGTGCGCATTTTAGGTGCAAGTCAGAATTCAGCGGGAACTTCAGGACGACCCCTCAGAGAAAGTGTACACTGTCGGAGGAACGGGCGGAAGAAGCAACTCCCTCGTTCGGGTTCCGTCTTTTTCCTCTCTCGTCAATGGTGCATGTCCGGGGGACACAGTCGGCGTTCAGGTTATCTTTTTTATCGTTTTTGTCCTTATACATAATTATGTAATTTAATTGAAGCTGACGTTAAGAACTTTTTCATATTCTCCAACCTGGGGTTAGTGGAAATGATGACCATTCCAATGTGACCCTTTTCGTCGCTATTCGGTGAAGGGAGATATAGAGATTAAAAAACGGGTCATATTACAAAGGTATCTTCCCCACGAAACTCTGCTTTGAGATACTGCATTAGACTTGTTGGCAAGACCTTGCACACACGAAATTCAACTTGTTCTGTGTTAAAGAGAAATGTCAGGTGTTGAGTGTATCGGCATTGCGAGCACGTTAGATGATCATACATCTGACAATATCCCTTCTTATTTCCAGTTTCTGGAGTCTAACTTCAACCCGTTCGAATATTCCAACAACTCCCGGATCATCCGTGCTGACGTCACGGGCCTTCACGTCAAGTGTGGAAACGTCACGATTCCGGTTTCCGGACTGAGTCAGCCGAACGACATCTTAACTAGCAGGAAAAACGGAAGTCTTGAAGACTCGATGTATGTTTTCAAGACGTCTGAACCGCTTGGTAGTGTGACTGTGAGTATTCAAAATGCGTAAACGTTTATCTTGTTGGTTCTTAATAGAAATTACTCTGTAATCAGGAAGATACGCAAATGCGGAACGTTATATGTTACTTTCTTTTGTGCTGTCTCTTTCTCTCTCTCTCTCTCCTTCTCTCTGCCTTTCTTGCATTTTTACAGTCTGTTTCGCGTATCAGCCTCGCCCTTTTCCCAAAACATATAAAACAAATAAACAAATGAAAGTCGCCAAGATGTCTGCGAAGATTCGGACTGGGCACCTGTAGTAAAATGGCTTAATCTAGCCCGTGATTTCTTTTCTAGATAAATTTTATTAACTAAGTAATATATTTTATGCTTTAAAAATATATTTTATGCTTTTGAATCCTTGTTTCAGCTTTTCCAGTTCCTTGTGAAGAAAAACCAGTCGGCATTAAGCTTCAGCTTTGACTTCAACAGCACCCTGTTCCCGCATGGCATCACCTTGTTTCTCCGCAAGGAGGCACCGCCGACTCCCGAGGACTACAACTGGACCACCACCCTGCCTGTTCCTGATGAACAGGTAACTTTATGGTGCTTTAAGGATAACTGTAACGGCTTGTTTTACTTACTAGACATCAAGCCGTTGACACCAACGGATCGATCAATTTCTAAATGATGTGAGGTATCACTGGGCCTTTTGCTATTCTATAAGAGTCGTCTAATGTTATGGAGGGTACAGATGTAGTAGTAGCTACTGTAAGAGTAGATACGATCAGAATGACTGTGGATATGCCGTTCGGTGTTTGGTTTAAAAATAACAGGCTACGTTTTGTTTAAAAATAACGGTTCCTATTTGCTCTAACCAGCTAGCTAGTTAGATATTGGTCAATGCATTTAAATGAGTAACTTTTTTTTTGCATATTAGGGTCTAAACAATAATATATCTGAGGTAATTATAATGTCTGTTACTGGCAGATTGTGTCCATCCCGTGGATAAATGGAACAGTCCTGACATCCAACCCCTACCATTGGCTGCTGTCCCCGGAGGAAATCGACATCACGAATGTTGACGTGGAAAACATGACGAACTACTTCCTCGGTGAGTTTAAAAGCTGTTACTATTCATCTCTGTACTTATTGTTCATATATTTTGTCTACTTGTTAAGCCCCAGTGGGAAAAGAATATGGACGTATTGTTTTCGTCTACATTTTTTTACATTTCAGCGCATGCGCGCTGAAATGTAATAAGACGGATTCTATCCTTCTTTCTTTCTTTCTTTGGTAGTTAGGTAACTCTGCAGGCCATGCAATACCTGTTTACTTCTTTCCGGTTTGTGGGATATGCAATAGACTTGCTGCCATTTTAATCCATGTTCTTTACAAGAAGAAACTTTATGTAGTAACAGTCTCATCTAGTGACATACCATTGATCGAAGTATGGTTACATAAGTTTTTCGGCGCTAATTTATTGATCGTACTACAAATCTAAAGATGGTTGCATAAATTATGTTAATACAAAATAATGCCGCCTGTCGCTAGATGTCGTTGTTGCATGTCCTGGCGAAGTTTCTCTATTATGTTTGCACTTTGACGTTTGCCTGTTGCATGGTTCTTACTCAGGAATGGCAATACGTATGATACTTACTCTTTTTAAAGACGGGCTTTCATGCTTCAATCATAATTCGCTCGGACCTGCCCAATTTTCTCGGATAGCTATGTATAGGTAGTTGCTTAGGCGGTCAGGCAATGACGTAATGAGATAGCTCAACTGGGTAGCGATGCTAGCTGAGTTGCAGTGCACGTAGCGGGGTTTGGACATTGAGAGTTCTCTCCCCGGAGAGGAACTTTTTTTTTTAATTTTTTTTTCTTTAATTTTTTTTTCTTTAATTTTTTTTAAATTTTCTTTTTTTTAATTTTCTTTTTTTTTAATTTTTTTTATGTTCTTCTTTTAATCTTCTTTTTTTGCGGTGCACGTGGCGGGGTTTGCACATAGCGAGTTCGATCCCCGGAGAGGAGCTTTTTTTTTCTTTTTTTAGCAGTCGCTGTTTTGCTTTTAACACTCAAAAACTAATTGTTCAAGTCTCGACGTATGAGTTTTTTAAATTTTCTTTTTAACATTCGCTGTTTTGCTTTTTTTATCAGATGTTTTTCTTCTTTAAGTGGTCTCGTACCAATTTCATCAACTTGGGTAATATCATTTCAACAACTTCTACCTCAATAACGGCAGTAAAACCTTCGTCAGCTGAAATGTCAGCTTTTTTTAAAAGCACTTGTTTTAGTCTGTTTTAGCATATTTTGGTTAACGTAAAAAAGACTGCTTTTATGTATTGTTGCAATAGTTGGTATGTGGGTGGGTCACGGAAAGATAAGGTCAACTGAGACTTTTAGAGGTTGAATTACTGTAACACAACATTCGGTTTATGCATCTTTTGTTCTTGACATAATATTATTTTGACTTTTTGGTGGAAAATGGTCTTTTATGTCAGGAATTAGGTTTGGTCCACCTATCTGCTTGTCTAGTACATCTCTTCAGTGAGGTAATAGTCAATGATTGCTAGAAGCAAGGTTTGGACGGAATATATAAAGATCTCACAATTCTTGCATTTTTTTCTATCAGGTGTACGATTTGGCTCTGAGCAGAACCTGAGTAGTGGACATATTGTAGACTTCACTCTGCACATCTTCGAGACGTCCTGTGTTTATTTTGACGAGAATGTTGACTTGTGGCACAGTGATGGTTGCAACGTTAGTTACCTGGTTGTTTCTTTGTTTGCTTGTTTATTGATTCATACAACCCTTAGACAATCCAATAGTTTTGTAACGTAGCACTCAATAACTCATGGCTCGGGGAGCAATGCACAACTTGCTGAACGTCTATAGCACCCCCCGTCGTAAGTACAAAGTGAATTTACAAAGTGAACACGCGATGGATTCCTTTTTCCTTGGCAAAATGAGGAGTTAAACAATCCAGTTTTGTGTTGAAAATTACAATTCAAATCTATCGTACATATAGGTAGGGATGATGTCCAATGCCAGCCACATCCACTGCCGATGCGACCATCTGACGAAGTTTAGCGGCTTCGTCGCCCCGAATCCTCTCAACATCGCTGCGGCGCTGTCTGCCAACGTTCTAGAGAACCCAGCAGGGCTCATCCTCGTACTTACTGTGCTCGGCATGTACTTCATGGGCGTGTTATGGGCACGGAAACAGGACAGGAGGGACTTAGCCAAGGTAGGGAGAATAAATTACTTATTTCCTTCATAAAGGGAAGAAAAGGAATTTGATTGACCGGAAATAGAAGATTAATGATCATATCTGTCCTTGGTGCTAAACGCCAGCCACACAATATGCTATGGTAATAATTTGAGTTGTAAATAACTCTTGGTCGCTGATATAACTAGTTCCTGCCCCAAAGCAGCATTGTTTAAATTCCAGCGGAAAATTGTGTTAGAAACTGTACTTATATACAGTTAACACTGCTATAGAAAAATCTGGTGGAGAGATGTCCTCTAGACCAGGATTTTTAATGCTGGTGTCAACTGAAAAATTATCTAACGTGTCATCGAAAATTAGACCAAGTATTCCTTATATAGAAGTGATCATTTGTACAGGTTTCACCGTATTTGGAAATGTAGGATTTTCATGGATTTTCCGTATCAGGTTGGAGTTGGAATCCTACCCGGACACAGACTGAACCCCAGAAAGGATTGTCAATACGTCATCACTCTTTACACTGGATTCAAGGGGAATGCTGGAACAACTGCAGAGGTGGGTTAAACTTTTATCTTTCAAATCTTATTTATGATATTACGTAACGTTAACAGGGTTAAATCAGTACAATTGGTACTGATCTCTTATCTTAGCTTAAAAGCTTAAAATTTTTAAACTGTCAAATTTTATGTGTTTTTAATTAACTTTATGAATGTGGATATTCATATTTTGTCAGGTTACCATCGTGCTTTACAGCCAAGACAGAGAGAGTCCTCCTTTCATACTGAGCGACTCGTCAAGAATAACTTTTGAGAAGGGCAGCGTGGACTCCTTTCTCGTGTCGACATCAGAGCCACTGGGAGATCTGACTTACCTACGTGTGTGGCACAACAATGCAGGGTACAGCCCTGCATGGTGAGATGTCTGTTTGTCACTTCTTTCTTTGCACTGCGAATATTTTTATTGTATAGCCGTTTACAAACTGAACAACGTGATTTTATTTTTTTTTCAGGTTCCTGAGTCAAATTGTAGTGACTAACAGAGAAAACAACAAGTCACAGTTTTTTCTGTGCAACAGGTAACTTTAGGGCCATAATTTATTGTACATTTTAACAAAACATAATTGATAAAAAACACCACTTACATTGAAAAAAAATGTTTAACGGCAATGCTTTGTTATTTAGTGACATTCATTTTACCATTTCACTTACACTTTCACTATCCGACTTACAAAACCGTAATTTCCATCTTGTTAAGTCATTCACTTGTACATTAACGTTATCTAAAGAATTTTTAATGTATTAAAATACATAAATGCATATTTCGTTCCTCTATGAATTTTTTTTTAAATTTCACGGCGATTCTTTTTGTGGTCCACTTCCCACCAGCTGCATGGGTCACATTTTGACCTCTAGCTTCCGTCTTCCTAACTGTACACATGTAGTCTGTTACTACACCATTCCTTCCCAGTCGATGGGATTACTACACATAAAATTCCTTATGTTATAACCGATGATAAACACTATAGACAAAACTTTCGTACACGAAGATAATAGATTGGAAAAATTAATTGTATCAATTGAAATAAATAGAAAAAAAATTACATTAAACTAACAAGGAATATTGATTTATCGGCTTCTTTTCTTTAAACCATACAATTTTCTTTTGCAGATGGTTCGCTACCGACAAGGATGACGGGAAGGTTTATCGGCTTCTGCCAGAATCGGGCCCGGATGAGATGAAAGAATTTCGAAACGTATTTCTGGCAAAAAGTTCGAGGTAAAAATTTTGTAAACTTTCTTTTTTTAATGTTTTTGTAATACCATGCATGTATCAGGATGCTTGTTCTATTGATTCCTCAGGTTTTTAATATTCTCACATTTTCAGACAGCTGGGTTGCTCAGTTTATTTTAGTAAAATCAGTTATATCTGTATTTCTGTGGATTTATTAGGACTTTGATCATGTAACCTGTATCTTTTATTATATTTTATTGTTAAATTTGTTTTCTGAAATTGTCTAGTTCTTCCCTTTATACTTCAGTGAAAAAAGACTGACAGGACAATTTTAGTTTTTGAATAATAAAGGCTTAAACAAACAAACAAACGAGGGACAGCAATGGAAGAGACATTTCTTCTTTGTAATAGTCTCGCTTTACTAGATACAAGCTGTGCCTCAAGTGTCTATTTTGTCAAAGTATCTGTTAGATGTTTGCCCTTTTATCATCACAGGGACATGAACGACGGCCACCTGTGGTTCTCCGTGGCGGGCCGCCCGGCACGAAGCCCGTTCACCCGAGTCCAGCGCCTGTCCTGCTGCCTGACGCTGCTCTACAGCACCATGGTCACCAACATCATGTTCTTCGGCCGCGGGGATGACTTCGACCCGCCGGAACCACTCAGGTTCGCCGGGATGGAGATCAATCCACCCATGTCGCTACCGCAGGTACTATTTATCATTCACTCTCCCACTGTCTTACAGCTAGCCATGTTTGCAATGGCTAAATATCTAAATGAACAAACAAGGACGAACTGTTTTTGCTGCTGTGAAATCATGGTTATCTAAACGTATGTATACACAGTTTTCTAAGACAATGTTTTATAGGTTTTATACTCTGTAAAGGAGGTCAGCATTCTATGGCTGAGTATTGTTCAGACATGTGTCTTTGCGTTCGCAGCTGTAACTTATAATGTTTGCAGCTGCATTTTATTGCTGCATTGGCACATAGTTTGCTTCTTCTGGTAAGCGCGAGATGATGATATCATTTTTTTACAATGTATCAGTTTATATTCATAATTTCTAATATTACAAAATATCTTGACGGGCTTTCAGAACAGCTGGAATAGCTTAGTAACCTTGTTGTCTCTTGTGGATGTGCGTTAATAGAGTTTTTTTCAAGCAGGAGTAAATATACGTGTCTTGTCTTGTGCCGCCAATCAATTAATCGTCCTGTAACTTTTTTTTCAGATCATGATAGGTCTACAGAGCGCTGCCATCATCCTGCCTGTCAACCTGCTCATCGTGTTCCTCTTCCGAAATTCTGACTCCAAACCAACAAAGAGAAGGAAAAAAAAGTCGGAGAATAACGCACCTTTCCACAACCTGGCCAAATATTTGCCCGATAAGAAAGAAAGTTATAAACCTCGCACAATTGTCTTATATCACTCTGGCGTTGATACTCCGTCATTTTGGCACAGGGAGGAAACTGATTCCAAATTGAAAAGGCATTTTGATTCTGGATCACCTAGCTATGTACAACCTACAGGACTGTCCATTGATAACACAACGACGGAGAGTAATACCGATGACGATGCAGGGGACTTCGAAGAGAAGGGAAAGTCAAGCATTCCGTGGTGGGCTGTTTACTTCGGTAGGTTGGGATAATATAGTCACAACATTTCTTGTCTTTTTTGCACTTTAATGAATAATCTCTGTTGATTAGTAATTTTGTAGATATGTATCGCTAATAAAAAAATGTGCTATAATGTAGCTTATGATAGCCCTTCTTCCCCCCTAGTTAAATAAGCTAGGAACCATATTAACCCTATTCAGACCGGGCTTTTTTGGGTATGCTCAGACAAGGGGGGGGGGCTTTTGAGGCTCAACAGCTACTTATCGTAGGGCCACCAAATTTTCAGAGAATGGTGTAGTAATTAAATTAATTCATACTACCAATTTTTGTGTAATCATGGCGTCATTTGTACGATTTTTTGGGGGTAAAACCGTCTTTTTTTCGTAAAACGTAATGGAATACAACCAAACTTTAACGAAAAGTGTCTATGATGGAATATTAATGTCTGCTAATTTTTATGTTGCCCTTGGCAACAACACTGACGGCAAAATGACCTCATAAAATTACGCCTTGCATGATTAAGCTGTCAGCCCTTTTGGATAGAAAATCTTGAATTTTGAAAATTGCATTTTTTCAAGATTTTGCCTCTAGGATTAAAGTTTGACTTACTGGCTATCACAGTGAAGAGTAATGAATGATCTCATCAGGAACATTATATTCAGTTCAAATTTTTGAAAATATTTTTTAACATTTCTGTAACACAAAGGCCATCATACTTACCTCTATTCTTGCCTCTAGGTTGGCTACTTGTCTGGTCCGCGAGCTTCGTGGCTGCGTTCTTCACCGTCCTGTACTCCCTGAGTTTCGGACGTGCAAAGGCGGAGGCGTGGCTCTTCACTTTTCTGACGTCATTCCTGACCGACCTGTTCCTGGTGCAGCCGTTCAAGCTACTGTTGGTCGCCATGTTGTTTGCCTTATTAGTCAAGGTACCAGTTTGTTTTTGTTTCAATTCAGAGTCCATAAAAATGAGGAATTCTTATCTCCGGGTACGGAAGTATATTTTTCCTTTGTAATGACTAAGCTGACAGCACATGGGAAAATTTCTCAAAAGGGCACTGACACAGGAAGCTAGGTCCTTAAAGAGAGACATTCATAGTAACGGATGAAATATAAAACCTATAAAGAACTCTAAATGTTTCCAGGAGGTATGAAATATCTAATTTCTTGTTTCACTTTGTGGGGATATTATTAGGCAACAAAACATTTTTTGGTGCTCTGTAATTTTTAAACTAATGGTAAATAAAAGTCTGACCAGTGTTTGTCTCTGACTGCAGCTGTTTATTTTTTGTAGATTTTTTATGCTCATTAGAGTTGTAATTTTTTTTAATAAATACTACAGAAACCTGTTGAAGAGGATGACCCCCAGCCTGCCCCATTACAACATGATGAAGAATACCTCCAGGATAACAGACGGGTAGGATTCTAATGAAATTGAATTTCTTTTAATTCCAATACCTTTTCGTATGTAAATTGTAATGTAAGTGTAGGTGTAATTGATACATTAATACAAACACATGCAAATAGACTGGACATGTATGACATGTAACAATACATGCATTATATTACTCTGTTATGGGTGCTGAATTTTCTTTTAGTAAAGCAATAACATACTTTATTACTGTTACGTGACACATGTTTATTGCTACAATTTTATTTACACTGCACCGTATCGATAACTTACGAGACGGAATCATTGTTTTTGGTGGCGCTGACTTCTTGGAAGTTGCGTAGGTTTCTTTTCGAAGTGACAGGGTTGATATGACGTTTGCTCAGGGTGAAGAATGTGGTCTAAAGGAATGTGCGCAACAAAACATGATGATTTAATAAGCGAATGTGAAATTCTGCATACAGTTGTATAAGTAATGATGTAACCCATGAACGTAAATTAAGTCTGCTTTCGGAAAGTTTGAAATCTCTTTTTTCTTGTTTGCTTGAGTGTCTTCATATTTGCTGTGATTCCCCAAAACACAAAATGCAACCTTGCATTTAATTGCTATTCGTACAGAACGCTGCTATGTTTATTTGTAAGTCCGGGATGCATGCAGTGTCTCGGTTGGGTTAAGGCAGCCTATGGCATACTATGAGTAGTATTTCATACATATGCTTGTAACTTTTGATAGCTTGGTCGCACCACAATTAAACTTCACACCGTTCTAGTAGTACGTGAAACACATTGAATAAAGGTTATTTTGTTTTTACCACTTCTGGATTTTTGGGTTAAAAATCAACATTTTGGTTTAAAAAAAGCTGTTTACTTCATGGCTTTACGCGCAAGCGGTAACAACACATTTCACCATGATATTTTACAAGTAGAAAGCCAACAGCCTATTTATTATTTTTCTTCGAGGCTATTTTGTTTTAAAAGACAGTTACATTGTTTTTTGGGGTCAAAAACGACAGAAACAGTTATTTTTCTGTCATTTTTCGTTGAAAAATCGCCACAGTTAAAAAAATATCGACTTATACGCAAAATAGCCTCGGACAATTTTGATAAAAAAGTGATAATACGCAAACATGGATTACTCTAAAGATCAATTATGCTGTTTTCAGCTGCGCGTAAAGCCGTTTAAGTCATACTCCGTGAATAAAATGCGTAACAACGCGGGTTTTCAGGGGAAACATACAAATGACCGCGAGTGACCCCGAATTCGAACACGCGTTCTATTCGAATGACGTCATATCGAACATAGTGGAACATGATTCGGGTTCGAAACAAATCTGTGGCCATCTTGCAGACACACGCCCGAACTCGAACATGAATATCAGCCTAGGCCGCCTTAACCCAACCGAGGTGGATAAGGGGTAAAGTATGTCGTTTCTGTTTGCCGTGTTTACTATAATTATGCTATGCAGATGGTGGAAACTCGACAATGGTCAACCGCAACAGGGTGGATGCGTTATATGTGGGCAGAGAAGGCTGAAACGCGTCACTACAAAGGTGGAAAGGTAGGATTCATTGTTCTAACATCGTCGTGAATATTAACGTGTCTTGTGGGCGAACTCTTCTTTTGACTGACTCCTTTTGTTTTTATTTTTTCCATTTCAGATTGACTTTTTCGGACCTAGCTGTTTGAACCATACATCGTTTACATATTACCCCCCTTCATATACCCATTAATATCCTTACTGGCTTGTCAATTCAGTTGTTGAGCCCGTCAACCTTTCTTCATATCCTGTCAAGTTGTGTTTGGCTGTTTATATAGTAGCAATGATGTCTGTCACTTGTGTCCGAGTCGGATCCATGTGTATCAACGTTTGGATAAATACTATTAGAAAATAAGTAGATATGTAGATAAATATGAAAATGAATGCTCTTCAACGATTTTATTTTTTTACAAGTAACAGGTAATAACAGCATATATCATAACAAAAGATTTTTAATGCTTGTTTTTCATTTGTCTTCATAGGCATCTGGAAGTGTACATTCTAACTCGCCACCTGAGGAATCCGCACTCGCCGAACAACGGACTGAGAGCAAGCAAAAGCGCAGGAGACGTAAACAGATAGTTGAGGTTTTGATGTTTGGACTGTTTGTGACCGTGATTATGTTGACGTCGTACGGAGAAAGAAGCCCCTTGGCTTTCTACGTGACGAAGGATGTGCAGGGGCTTATTCTTGACAGTGGTGACATCAGTTTCTCAGAGGTAACGACTTGGAGTACATTTTCACTTGCAACTTTCGAAAGTATTGCTTTAGGTGGCGCCGTGTGTGTGTGTGTGTGTGTGTGTGTGTGTGTGTATTTATGTGTGTAAGTACATTTGTGTGTGTGTGTTGGGGGGATATATATGTATTTAGGACAAAAATACACAATGCACTACGCACTCCGTACAAGAGAATTGTAAGTGCGGTTGTGTGTATGTTAGTGAATAAGTGAGTGAGTGACGATTGGAAGTAATTGGCCAGGTTCTGAATTTGCTCTGGGTATTTTTAGGTCAGCATTAATGTATATTGGGTAATAAAGGTATTAAATACAGACGGTGTACCGTTGGGGTACTTAAGATAATAATTTTTGTGTTGCCATGGCAACGGGTTTCTGCATTTTTTGCTAAATTTAGTAATTTTAGTTTCAACAATAGAATTTTATGGGTTTTATGTCAAGTTACTCATGGTTTCTAATATTAATAACATCCCAGATAATTTTATGTAAATTTTAAATTTAAAAATTCAAAATTTATGCTAATTTGATGACGTCATTGGCCCAAATCCAAGATGGCTGTCCATATCATTATAACAGGTATATACAGGTTATTTTCCTTAAAATTTCATCAATACTTCCATTTCTTTTGACAAAAAAAGGTTTAAATGAAGGTCTTTAGTATGTTTACAATGTATTTTAGGCTTTATCATGAAAAAAAAACTTTTTTTTTAAATTCAAGATTTATGGTCCAAAATGGCGGATATCTTAAATATGCATGACGTCATTTTATGACGTCACCGGTGTTGCTATGGGCAACATAAGACTTAGTACACCCTAATATTCTGTCATAAACACTTTTGGTAAAGTTATGTTGTAAACTATTTAGTTTTTAGGGAATAACCAATGAAATCACATTAATGACGTCTTAATGACGTCATATTACGTCATGACATAAAAATTGCATATATGATAAATTTTTACTAGTACATCATCCTCTGAAAATTTGTTGGTCATACGACATACCGTTCGTGAGTTCTGAGGGGGG